AGAAAGGATGAGGTGGCAGCTGCATATCATGTAATACAGTTATACTGATCTTATTTTGATGGGCATGAGTGCAAATATCCAGGACTGGTGTAACACAAAATGGATATTTATAGGGTTGTATAAATATAAACGGGTTGTATATGGGTTGTAGTACTGCTTTCAGAAGAATGTCTTTTGGAAATTGTCAGGTTGTAGCATACCCAGAACCAAGCTTTAGGTTGGAGGCATGAGTTTAGTTTTTAGGATTTAGACACAATCATGTTTCTGAATTCCACTGGAAGTTAACTAGCAGTAACTGAAGCTCGAAAGCTGTATAAAGTCTTTGAAAGTCTGAATAATTTCATTCTCAATGCCTGAGGCTGCAGTACAACTGATTTAACAGTACATTTCATCTGTGACAAAGTTATATTGAAAAGCTGACAAAATTTATGAGTTCATTTTTTGATGCAATGAATTATACTTTATAGTATCTTCTGGATTTTCAGGTAGAAATAGTGCATCAAAAACACACCAAGAAGTATCTTCAGCAGAACATGATCTGCTACCAAGACCTACAGGAAACTAAGGAAGACTTGGTGGATTCACTGTTAAAATCGTAATATTAAATACTCTTTACCAACAACTTAATGATATAGTTTTAATTACTCTTATGTTCCAAGTTCCATTGCTCTGAGAAAAAAACCTGTGGAAGTTTGAGCTTTAATTGACCTAAAAGTTGATTATTGCCTGGATATCAGAGAGATGCCCCCACCTTGTCCTTTCTGAATTAATCTATTATTCTTTAAACTCTACTGCATTCTGAAAGATTCCAGAAAGCTTATTGTTTCTGAAAATTAAATAATTGTTTTCTATTATGTTTTACATTTTTTTGACTAAATTATCTCTGTTCCTCTTTCTTTTTAGAGGCAATATATTACATAGAACTGAGGTAGATTTCAGATTCATGCATTCTTCATTAGATCTTTTCTGTTGCCTGTTAAACCTGTAGTGATCAATTATTTTGCATTATAGATAATTATGTCTCTAACAACGTACTATATATATAGTGGGAAGCTCTTATACTAACTCACATAGAAATGGCTGTAAAATTACACGATCTTCAATAGGTGCTGGAGGTGTAAGTAAGTGGTACTGGTGGCATATGATACGTTGAGATCTGTTCATCATGGGTGTTTCGCAACAGAGTACCCTCATGTCTTAGCAAGAAGATGCTAATGTTCTGGAATAGGAGGGCATCAGGTGGACCACCAGTTGCTCCCGAGTGTCTGAATCGCTGACAGTGATCATGGGGGACCTGGAGATCAAGGAGCATTTATTGCACTATGGTGATTCCAAGCCAGGGTTATCCGTAAAATTTTCACTAGCTTTTCAGTCAAACCTCGCTTCTGTCTAACTCCTCTTCCATTAGTTTTTATAGGTGCTTCTGAGTTGACTCTAACTTGTTTAGAAATGGCAGTTGGATCATCTAATTTAATTGAATGTTATTAATGAAATTGCATTTGCCAACAACCTTGGCACTAACAGCCTTCGTGTGCAGTTGGAAACACTATTTAGTTACAAAGCAGTTGAGTAATTGTTAGCAGATGGAATTTAGCAGGCTTGTATTGAAGTTTTCATTGTCTAATGACTTGAAAATATGGCAAGCTTACCAGTTACAATTTGTTTATTATGTACTACAGTTAAAATTTCAGATTAATTTTTGGAGGTTTCTTATTTTGTACAGCTGTAGTTGAACTTTGCATGATTTGCAGTCTAGGTATAAATTATTTTTCTGGCAAATGAGATTGAAAGAAGACACCATGCAGTATTTTGTTCTAGTGGTTTCGCAGATAAAATGATACGCTCAAGAAGACAAGAAATGTGTATTTTTCACTTAAAGCACTATGCCATTACTCATGAATTTTGCATGGCTATGGATTCCAAAAGCCAGCATATAAAGGAGAAGCTAGGCTTGCTAAATATGATGACTGAATGCTGATTCAAACCTCAAGACTGCATTTCTGTCTGCTATTAATACCCTTGTCACTGTTCTTAACATCTTCCTTTTTTCTTTCTACTTTCAGCTATTTCTGGTTAAGTAGGTGTATGGGAATTCTTTTGACATAGTAAAACTTATCTGGGGAATAAGAGGAGCAGCGCAAGGTTTCTGAAGTCATTACTTATCTGCTGGCATAGGCAAAGATGCAAAATACTTGCCGTTAGGCTTGGGTGGTTGGAGAGTTTACAGAGATAAGCCCAAACTCCAACATATGTGAGGACTGAATCCAGCCAGTGGTCTGGGCAAGTGCTGGTCCCCTGGACACATTAGACTCATGCCAGCAAGGCTCTGTCAAGCCCTCAGGGAATGTTTAGAATCATTGAATCGTTTAGGTTGGAAAAGACCTTGAAGATCATCAAGTCCAACCGTTAACATAACCCTGCCATCCCACCACTAAACCATGTATGTCCCTGAGCACCTCGTCTACCCGTCTTTTGAATACCTCCAAGGATGGGGACTCAACCACTTCCCTGGGCAGTCCATTCCAATGCCTAACAACCCTTTCATATAAAAAAATTTTCCTAATGTCTAACCTAAACCTGCCCTGGTGCAGCTTGAGGCCTTGCCTGTCTTCTGCAGAAGATGTGTGCAGCGAATAGAAGGTATGCTAAAGGAAAGTGATGATGCTTTGCTGTCTTCTCTTTCCCATACCCTTGGCATTCAACAATGCATATTGGCACAAGGAAGTTTAATCTGTTGTTTCCAACTCTCAGATTTGTGGCTATGTTGGTTTAAGCCTGCTGGGAATGATAGGAAAGCTTGTCTTGCAGTGTTGCTTTCAGATGAAATGTCAGCATATTCTAGCATGAAGTGTATGTATCTTATGTCAGCCTGTCACTGGCTCAGGAAATGGCCTTAGACAAATCAGCCAACTTTTGTGGACGGGTTCTGTGTTCAAGTTGCCTAATGCCTGCATTTGTCCCAGGTAAATAAGCAGAACTTTCAGTATGTGTTTCTGTACCTCATCCAAAAAAATAAAATAATGATTACAACAGAATCTATTGTGAAGGATTCGGCAGTATAACCTTCTTGGATTATGACAGTGCTAAATATTACAGAAGTAATACATAAAGGTGGTACTGAAAAGGTTTGAGTTTGACAAAAGTATGTCAAGAGGCTCCGGGCAGATCTCTGTGCAGTGATCCATTCAGGTAGAGGGAAACTGCAAAGAATCTATTGCAGAACAGGGACCTGCTTGCAAATATGCAATGGAAAATGGAAAGCCCTCTCATTTTCAATTTTACTCATTCTTTTTGGGAGATGAGCTTTCTTCCCATCCATATTACTACTTAAAGATCACCTCTTGCTTCAGGATTGCAGAGAATCCTTCCTGTGGGTTTCTTCCTCTATCACAGATTGTGGGCCAGGTTTTAGTTCTTGTGTTTGAGTCTAGGGAAGGATTCTAGGATAATCAGACTGTCTCAAGCCTTTTCCGTCTACTTTTTACAACAGGTTATGTTTAACAAGAACGAGGGCTGTGTTACAATTTACTGCAAAGGAGTTAAAAATCTGCCTTAAAATAGGTTTAGCAGGGTTTTGCCTACCTGAGACAAATACCTCACCTACAGTACCACTCTGTCGCTAGGAAGGATGCTACCCTCTACATTGTCTGTACTCCTCTGTAAAAGGGCAGAACTTGTCTGTAGAATTATGTGGGTTGTCCACAGCGTGGTTTAGTGTTGCTTGTCTTGTGGAATAAAATAACCAGCTACTCACCTGCACCACTACTGCAGCTGCGGCTTCTGACCTAGGCAGAGCAATGCCAGTTCAACTGCAGTCTCTAGATTGAGCTTGATGTGAACATTACGTGTGCTGCCAACCACCAGATGGCCTGATGTCTGAATATATGTCTGTTGAAAATAGTAGCGTGCTACTGGAATAATTATATCATCTGTAAACAGAGCTAACAGATAGGTTCCAAATGATGAACAGCTAACAAAAGAAATACAACTTTTGAAGAAAAAAATGTATGTATAGATTCTTAACTATTTAATGCTTTAAATGTTAAAATTGCTCTTACTGTATAACTATCTGTAGTAATAGAATGCTATATGAAGAGCTATTAGTAAAATGGAGTTATGGACATATCAGTGCTGTAATAAACTGGCTATTATTGTCTTGTGTAGAGGAAATCAAAGCCTTATATCCTGAAGTATTTCATGACAACAGGAACTCCATCTCAGGTAGTATTAGCCTGTGTGTCTGAACAAAAGCAAGAGTTTTCTCTTTTACTGTGAAGTTCTGGGTATGTGTTATGTGCTTTGTAAACCTCATTGTGCCTGTGTCCTATACAAAACTTAATTATTCTCCATTACTTTGTCTTCTCTTCATTAACCCATTTGTTTTCTTTTTATAAGATGGGATTGTAAGCTCTGCAGGGCAGGAAGAGAGTCTAATTCTGCACAGCACCTAATCTGATGAGACTCTGATCCTTATTTAGGACACCCTTGGACAGCCTACAAAGCAATGCACCTAACCTGCTGTTTTTTTGTTTTTTTTTTTTATATATGCACTTAAAATCTTTTTTCTGGAAGATTTGGGGAGGAAACAGATGTTTCAGGTTGTGTTACGCTACTGACCAGATTTACCAAACATCTGTCCTGGTTTGGTAAAGAGAATGAAGTTCTCTTGATTATTTCTAATGTGAGATCCTAGCAAAACAAACAAATAAACAGTCCTCTAGAGGACTCTATGATAAATCATCAGGAGCAGAAAAGACATGTCTTTCTCTCTCATTCTGAAACATTGTCTGGTCTGCCCTGTCTTCTCACATATATTTTCACAACTGGAGAAGAACTGGACATTTCTTTTCATTCTCTTCTTTAATTCAAGTCTCTATCTTTAACTCCTTAAGATTTTTTTATTAGTAGTATTCTGTTGTGTGTTATCCTTCAGCAGTAGGAGAGTTGACAAGTCCAACTATGTTCTTTACATTTCTTTTTATTTTTCTCTTTTTTCCCAGAGCTTGTGTTATCTTGGGTGTCATATTCCTCCTGTCATCTCTATGTATTGTGATCAAAGCCATCCATGATCTTGCGAAGAAGGTGCTTCCAGAAGTGGTAAGGTGATTCATGTTGTTTAAAATGTTCTCTTTATTCGCTATACTGCTAGTGAGACTGAGAAAGGCCAGTGTCTCCTTTCAACAAGCCCCGTTGAACTTGGCAAAGTTATAGCAGATGCATATCCTGCCTGGCTGCATATACCAGTTGTAGTCTTCAAGCAGTATTTTCACCTTATGTGATGGAATCTAGTCTTTATGGGTTTCTATAGACTTGATCCCATTTTTTCTTCTCCATGGTAACTTTATGGGCCAAATCTTTCTCAGCAGAATCACTTTTATACAGGACTGTATAAAATGCTGACTCTCTGTTCACTTACAGAGAGGACGTCTCTCTGGGCTTAATGAAATGGTAGAATTTTATGAGGAGAATGTTTCCACAGTTTACTACTCCAATGGATTCAGTATTTTATTTTTAATGTGGAAAAAATGTATTTTTGGATTGTATTTTTTTGTTTTCCAGCTCTTGCCTCCAATTCCAGTTGCTGGGTGAAAGAGCTGGCTTTTCAACTGGCTCACTGTGGAGCATCACAAAGGGCTTTTCTCCTGCTCTCTGCTTTCTTTTGGTTATGAAAGCCAGCCCCTACTTGGCCTATAGAGCAGCTCTTCCCAGCAGCCTTTCTCTCAGCTCTGCTCTGTCCTGTCCTGCTTGCTTCCTATCAGTAGTGGGTATTGACTTCCCTGACCTCTACTCATCCAAACCAGCTACTCACTGCGAAAGCCATTTGGCAATGATTGCACTCCCAGAAAACTTTTTAATGTGCTCAAACAAAATGAGGCTTCAGTTCAGTTACTGTATATGCAACCTGACTTGGACCTTTTGTATTCAGCCTTCACAAAGTTTGGTCTATTTGTAAGTGCACACAGATTTTCGCATCAGGGCTTCACCTTGCCAAGTACCATTCTCAACACATCACTAGAGAGAAACCTAAACTCCTTGCTTTCAACCAGGAGATGGAGGCAGAGCTGGAAAAAAAAGCCAAAATGGAATTTCAGCTTCTTACCCACTGTTAGCAGTGTAGATGATCTACTGGATCCTGTGCTCTCACGGAAACTTCCAAGAAGCTGGGCAATTACGGGAACTTATTTTCAGTAGTTAGTGAAATTTGGACAAAGATGAGAAGCATAGAAAAAGCCCATGAACTAATGCATTACTGAATTGCAGCCAGGTGCATTGTTTGACCCCAGGTGGTTCATTTTTCTCTTTGCATTTTACTTTTCCTCTTTTCTAGTCTTCATAATTTACTGCCTCCTCAGCTCTGCCAGCATAACAGCACATGTAGTTGTTCACCAGCCTGTTTCTGTCAAAATGATCTAGGTTAGCTTAAACGCTTTTAATAGTCAGTTCTTAAACTCAACCAAAACGTTTTGACAGAACTGGGTTAGGGCATGAGCATGGATGCCATTGTGCCAGTAAGGCTGAAGGAGATCTGGTAAGGGTGAGGGGAGATCTTACAGTGATGGCCAGCAAAAGGACAACTTCTTAACTTGGTTGTACCCAAACAGTGCCATCTGGCTACATTTTGACTCCTATTTAGTGAGAAAATGAAATATATAGTCTTGACTCTGTGAAGCAGAAGTAAAGAAGAGAGGCTGCAATAATAATTAAAACACCTGTTTGGTGAATTCATGGTAATGTAGACAGATTAATTTGGATGTCTTAGTTTAATTCATTGTGGGCAGATGCCCCAGTAATTCCAGCAGTAGGAACAAAAGTTTAAAAGGTATCATCTGTATCTCACTCTTCCATCATTACAGGTACTGTCTACAGGTGAGGGCTCAGTTTCTTACGTGGGGAGAAATGTCTCCTATTTGCAGCATCAAAGTTACTTATGACTGGCAGACACTTTGTACTTCCTTATGTTTCATTTTTAATTTTTGAAATGCATTTACAGCAGGAAAAAAACATGAAATCAGAGCTACAGAAAGGTACCCGCAAAGAGAAGATCCCATTATATTTCAAGTGTCCTGTAAGAATAGTTTGTACAGATCCCTTTTGTCACAGACTGCTTTGGATTCAGACTTCAGTGCACTAAAACTGTGTCAAGCAGGTAAAAGTTAGGGTGGATACTGCTTGCATTTGACACAGTATCAGGATAAATAGGTAATTTTGTTCCTGTGACATCGGGCTGACTGTTCTCGGTCATTTAGGCACTCAAATACTATCAAGGGTTTGAAAGGTGTATCTAGCAGGGCACAGACTGTGGCTGACTAGTGGCAGGGTAGAAGGCACATGCACACATGTAAAGGATTTTCATACCTTGCAATTCTGCCTGGAAAGTAGGTTAAAGCAAGGGATGAAAAACGATGGTACTTCTGATCAGTGTCTCTTAAATGACATGTCAAGGATTCTCATTTCAAAGTCTTTCACTGCATCTCACTGTGGGAAACTGATTCAGTAAGGGTTGCATGACAGGTGAAATATCTCTCTGTCAACTAAGAATAACACTGAAAAATGGGGAAACCGAGAGGACAGTGTTACTGCTGCAAGTCATGGTCAGTGAGGTATTATGCCTAAGAATTGCTACATTAAAAATAGGGGAAAAGGATGTTGTTAAAATAAACCTTTTCAGTTGCGCTAGCTGTGCCTGAATCTGATGCTGATTTTCTGTTTGCATAATGCTTCCTTAGCTGCTCTGTGTCTCAAGCAGAAATAGTCATTCTTCCCAGTTGTTTGGGTATTTGCTGATCGAGTATGTTCTCAACTAATCTGCAGCTGCCCAGGCGATACCATCGCATCTTAGCAGTCGAAATTGCTCAAATTAAATCAGTAAGGGGGAGAAGTTTCTGCTTCTACTCTTTTATCTAGGGTGCTGTCTTCTACTTCTTGGACCACCAATGAACTAATTGCTAATGATACTAATTTCTGTAATATCTTATAATGTAATTTAGCTATAATGTGTGGAAAAACAATAGAACAGAGTTTTCTGCTAATGGCTTTTTGCATAGCAGTGAAGTAACGAGTTCTGCATCAAAACAGTGACCTGAAATATTTTCTGATGGCAATTTCTGTATTACTGGGATTTCATATTAACGTGCTACTCTGATGGCAGGGGATTATCCTCATGGCGTGAGCAAGAACAGAACATTAAGACCAAGGAAAGGTGGCGTAACTCCACTTGCATCCCAAACTAGTATAAAACTAGGGTGAAGAGCTCTGCACTAGACTAAGAGGATGTATGCTTCAACATAAGTTTCACGTGTGAGTCACAGTGGCATGATTTTTTTTGGTGCAGTTTACATCTTTATTAGTCTTTCTTGAAGCAAAGGTCATTGAAGATGTGGGTACTTTTCAAAGCGTCTTCTGAAATTTTAGATGTGTGACTTCAATTTTAGGGGACATAATGTGGCTAAGACCCAACTGGAAAATGTTGCTCTTAGTGTTCAGTTGCTGATCACAAAGCTGGTATTGTCAGTCTCGAAGGCAGAAATGGTTTGGAATGCATTGCTGTGCTGCTCGTAGGGGATTCAAGATTAACACAATGTTGGTGTAGAGCAACACGACTGCATTGTTCTCAGATCTATAATGTGTCTTCTTACATCTTAATTTGTGGTAAACTTCAGTGACTTTTTCAGAGTTGAAAATTGGGAGCAGTTATAATTTCTCTGAGTTCATTTTAGTTTCTGTAAGATTTGGAGAACATAGTATGATATGGACAAGTTTAATTTAAGAAATTAAACAGATCAAGCAATTGGGTATCTGCTTTCTAACTGTAAGGTGCTATGATTAAAATCTTAAAAGCACAGTCAGCACTTCTGAATAATTCTGGATCAATTATACAAAGTGTTTGTCTGGAATTTTGACTCCTGGTAGTGTGTGTGTTTTCTGTATGCAACAATAGCCATGGCCATAGTGGGTTGGGCTAAAGGTCCATCTTTGGTCATCACTGACTTTCTTTGTACCTTTCTTTTTAGTTTTATCTCCATTTTTAGGTGAGGAAGCCTGAAGAGCCCACAGGATTCAAAGGTATAGGTGTCACCAGGGTTTTATGTTCATTTTTGCAAATCACTGTTGAGCACTGAATTGATATCTTTACAGAACTTTAACCGTAGATTTCATCTCCTGCAGTTAACAGTGAGTTCAGAAATCGTCACTATTAGGTAAACTTAGGGTTTTCCCTGTTCACAGTACTTTATATTTGTATTATAATTAAAAAGAAGCCTGCCCTGAAAAGGGACATTCTGTGTCAGGAGAGTTGGCCATTGAATTAATTATATACTTACTATATAATTCTGTATTTGTATTAATTATACACTTCTTACTGTCATGGGGAAAAGTTTCTTTTCAAGTAATTGAGGTGTATATTAATCCTCAGGGTTCAATATTTGCAACGTAGAGCAGTGTTTTCCAATAACTGATCCATAGAATTTTATTGCTTATTGTGTTTTTAAATGAATTAATTCACGAAGTCACGAATTACTGGGTTGATGATAAGGCAGATGTAGGAGAAATATTGCAAGTGAAGGGATCTATTTGTCCAAAAAGCCTGGAAGCCACCAATATCGAATATACTCAGTGAGAGGTGTAATGGATGTTTTTCTCCCACATTTTTGAAGCTTTGGACATTACTTTTAGTAAGCATCAGAAACTGTGTTATGGGTCTCTGATTTTTGGACAGAGGAGTAAATGATGAGGATAAAAAATGATGAGATCCTCCAGAGAGGATCTGTCTGTCATGTAACCTTACGTTTAATTTGCAGACATGCTTCATTTTCCTTTGGAGGCAAATTTCCACTTGTCTTGAAACATGTTGGTTTTGAAGGCAATCTTACTGTTTCTCTCCTAATCTTATCATATAGCTAGGATTTTTAGATATTTGGGTAAGATTTCCTGTAAAAAGTAGGTGTGCATGTGCTGGATAGAGCCCATACAGTGTCCTCAGCCCTTCCCAGAATTTTTAAGAGACATTGTCTTAGACTTTCTATGCATGTGCATTTGCCCAAACACCATGCACATGTTTGCAATAAGGAGTAGCTGTGAACATGCTATTATACACCTGG